CGGGAGAGTCATGGTATTTTTAATCACCTCATACGCATGGGAAAGTTGGACAATGAATAAATAAAGAAGATTGCAGAAGAACAGACACATTTGAATTATTGTATTGGCAAAGAATATTGAAAGTACCATGGACTGCCGGAAGAACAAACAAAATCTATTTTGGAAGAAGTACAGCCAGAATGTTCATTAGAAGTAAGGATGGTGATTTGGATATGTTATCAGGAGAGATCAATCAATGGAAAAGGTCTTCATGCTCGACAAAATAGAGGGTCAGAGAAAAAGAAGACCCTTGAGATGTATTGAGACAGTGACTGCAACATAGGCTCAAAAAATAGTAATTGTTTCCAAGAATGGAATCGCAGATTGGACAAATGTATTAAGTGTAATAGAGAGTACTTTAAAGATGATAAGGTTGTTTTGTAAGAAAAATATTAATACATAGCTTTGAAAAAACTCCATTTTGGGGGATATATATGTATATATGTATATGTATATATATTTGACCGAGGATGTTTTTATGTGTGCATTTGCCTTTGCTGTGAATACCTATTATCGTTGAATGCAGTGGAGCATATGGGGCAAAGTTATGAAAACTTGTTGGAAATAACCAACAGACTGAGGGAATGAGTCACCGGGGGATCAGAACTATAGTCTTGGGAATACCAAGGTCAATGGGCATAACACAGTTCACAAAGATAGTGTTCTACTGGGTGAGTAGAGCTTGTGAGCATTTAAGCTCTAATGTGCAACTATAGGCCTCTCCCCTTGCATAAGAAAAATGAGTGAAGAAAATCTAAAGCTACATGAAAACAATTGGCCCAATGGACTAATGGATTACACATGCATCGGGCTCCACAGCCCTGGGATCAGAGTTAGATGGTGCCTGCCTACCAACACCTTCTCTGAAAAGGATCACATCAGAAGGTCCTGAAGAGAGTAGGAAAAAAATGTGCAACATAATTCAAAATCATAAAAGAGACTAGGCTTATTGGTCAGATAGAAACTAATGGGATGCCCAAGATTACAGCCTTTAAATCAACCTTAAGGTCTGGAACTGAACTCACCCCCAGGTTAGAAAAACTGACTATTTAAGATCAAAAGGCAGCCTTTACCCCAGCACAATGGAGTTAGGAAAGGAGGTGGAAGGGAGACCAGAAACCCTGGAGAGAAGTGAGGGTCCATTAGGGGGTTGAAAGGGATGAGTTGAAACAAAATGCGTATACATTGTTGAATGTACCAGTCATGAACTATACTGTACACCTTTATGTACATCATAATAAAAAGTTAAAACCCTGGTCCTTTACATTAAATTTTATTATCTCATATTTTAATATTTATTCCCTTTTTCTCCACCTCACCTTCAGGTTTTGTTTTTGAATTTTGTTACCACTTAGCATGACTTGAAATAGCGCCTTTACCTCTGTCTTTAAAGAGACATGGCATTTTTGTCTCTATTAACCACATTTTACCCTACTTTCCCATTTCCTTTTACTCCAAACAAATAGTTAGGCCATTTTGTACTAATTCCCTTAGGGAAGAGATGTAATAGGGATGCAGAGGAGTGGGTGGAGTGGGTTGGGGAGGGAGAAGATAAATAATGGCCAGGTTTTCTATTTCAAAAGCCTGGCTTTTAAGGAAGTGAAGGCTCATGGATTCTGACTATATGAATAAACCCAAAAGACCAAGACTCAAGCCCACCTTCGTTCCAAGTGTGTAATAAGGAAAACGCTCCTCAGGTGGGAAGTGAAGACAATGTTGGTATTTTTGGCAGTTCTTTAAAAAAGGAGCTTCTAAGGAGCAGCAAAACTACGCCGTGTCCTGGGTAAGGTCCCTAAAAGGCCACAGGATGCAAGAGCTGCATTTTAGGTGATCTAATGATGAAAGGCAGGATGGGAGATGGATACCTAGGCAAATGTTAGTGTGATTACAAAATATCAACAATCTGACACCTACTTCAACATCCTGGCACCATGTAATTCCTCCCCAGTACAAGTTTAGGGATTGAGTTAAAGTTTACTGTGCCAACCATGCCGATAAACACGTGGGGTTAATTGAAGGGTGGAGAGATAAATGGCTTGGTGAGCCTTGCCTTTCTAGTTCTACAGTCTCTTGCTTTCTGATGGTCGGACCAGGATGCAGGTCCCTGCTTCAGCTGGCAAGGGTCACTTCCTGCAAGACATTCCCAAGGAGAAGCCACATGGACCTACCCCGATGGAGCCCTGGGTGCTTGACCAGCCGTGTGGAGACCCCTCCCAGAGCTGAGATGCTTACACGTGCACTAATTCAGCTTTCTTCCTGCAGTCGGCGTCATTGTGTGTGTTGTGAGATGGAGGAGGACTTTGTGGATTGTTGGCGGACATATGGGCTAATGTTGGACTTGTGGGCTTGGGCAACACTGTGTTGGGATGTTTTCTTGATGTGCACTAACCCTTTACATAAAACTCTCTCTTCTACATGAGTTTCTGTGGATTTGTTTCGCTAAAGTACCCAGACTCACACAGGGATCCAGGAGGACTTGTGGTGGCACAATCAGTTTGAGCACAACTGTGACCCTAAAGACCCCACAAGAGGAAGACTATTCTGCACAGAACACAGTCGGGAACACCCTATGGGTTGTACTCTACCACACCAGGTTGTCATGAGTTGGGAATGAATCAAAATAGTGAAAATTACATTTGTGGTATACCTGAGTTTATAGATTAATATCTACTCTTATTTCTCAATGTCAAAGACATATTTCTTATGTCTACAAATTCTCTTGAGCTCTACATCCAAATTGCCAGTTGTTTTCCAGAGAGATACAAAATCAACATCTTTATCACTACAACACAGGCACACCTATTCCAAACTTCCTCTTTCTTCGTCTCAGAATTCCCCACAGGCTCTCCATCCCCCATGGGATACTTGTCAATCACTTTTTTCACTAAAAACCCAAGTTGTAGTTTTATTCTAGTAATGTGTTAAAGGGACAGTACTAAGAGACACATTCCTCACGTTTCTGCCAACTTAGTAATACCAGCAAGGCAGCTCTGTTTATTTACAGCTCTTCTATTACCTACAGAACTAATTTTAATTTATCATATGATTTCAAAACATTTACAATTGCTTTCAGAACTTTTTTTTAAAAATTGAGGCTTTTTAGTGATACAATGTATCCAAGGATTACTAGACTTTTCAAAGCTTTAGAACTATAAACATTTACACAATGCAATGAAATTAAACCCATGCTTATGGAGTTAGCGATGCACATTAATAATCAGTGGAAGAGAGGTTTAGTTTTCTGCTACAAAGTTAATTAGCTTCTGAAATAAAATGCACAAGAACTTGCTTATTAGTGCAATACACATGAACTAGATCCTTAATCCGTGATAACTGTAAAATGCTACAACTTGTATAAGTACAGATTTTTATGGAGACAGAAGTTGGTTTCTCTGTGTTAGTATTTCAGGCAACTTTAAAGAAAGGTATCTTGGTGTTGCTCTGAGCAGGCTCTTTATATTTTACTTGAGTTAAGTTGCAAAATAAATGTTTATCCAGACTTAAAATAAAAAGTGGATGAATTTGGAAACAGAACAGTAGAAAGAGCTAATTGAAAATTGTATTATTAAGACATTTCTCCTACACCATAACTGTGATATAAAACATGAACATGACGCTTGATGGGGTCCACAATAAAGTAAGAGAATGTCTGTTCATGATTCTTTGTTGAAGGATAGCACATACCAGCAGAATCCTGAAAAAGATAAACCTAAATTATTTAGTATTCAACTACATTAAAATGAGAATGTAATTGACAATCATAATCATATTTTTCTTTGGTCAAAACATCTTGAGACATATATAACAATTTAACAATAAGTTAGTGGTTAAATAATATTACATATTAATAGAAACAGCATACCTTACAACCCTGTTTCCCTGAAAGTAAGACATCGCCCGAAAACAGGGCTTACTTACAGTTTTGCCTCTCACTGAAATATAAGGCCCCCTGAAAATAAGCCCTCCCCGAAAATAAGCGCCCCCCCAAGCTACCATAACTCTGGACTCTGGACTGTAGCGGCAGGTGCCACCACGCAGCTCACTATTGGCCGCAGTGCAGCCAGAGCAGACATGAAGTGTGAAGTCTCTTTTAATAAAACAATAAAGAATAAACGTGTACCGTATTCTTCTTCATGGAAAAATAGTCTTATTTTTCTTGAAAATGAGACCTAGCGCATCTTTGGGAGCAAATATTAATATAAGACACTGTCTTATTTTGGAGGAAACAGGGTAACAACACAAGTCTCACAGGTCTACCATGTATGCATACGTAATTCCTACCTCTAAAGAAATTATAATACAAAGAGAAATTCTGTCATTTTAAAAAGTGTATTTAAGGGTAGGGGAGGGGGAAATTGAGTAGCTGATATCAAGAACTCAAGTAGAAAAAAATGTTTTGAAAATGATGATGGAAACATATGTACAAATGTGCTTGACACAATGAATGGATGTATGGATTGTGATAAGAGCTATAAGAACCCCCAACAGACAAGTGGGTGAAGGGAGACGCCAGACAGGGCAAGATATGACAAAATAATAATAATTTATAAATTATCAAGGATTCATGAGAGGGGAGAGCGGGGAGCGAGGGGGAAAAATGAGCTGATGCCAGGAGCTTAGGTGGAGAGCAAATGTTTTGAGAATGATGAGGGTAACGAATGTACAAATGTGCTTGACACAA